ATGAAATTATATTATTAATGCAATGGATGATGTTGTTGCTTGTTTACTACTATGTTTTGTTGTGATACTATACATGACGTCCTCCACCCCTGAACGTTTCCGTCGTTCCGGTTTTGGGGTGTGACATTATCTCTCTCACACAATCTCGAAGTATCTTCTACCCTAGGCGTTTCTTGGAGTCCCGGGCCCGATTTAACCCTACATCAGCGGTTTCATGCATCAAGGGTGAGTTCATGGCCTCATTTTACTGTTTTAAAGGTTTTAAAGGGGCGCAGGGGGTGGGGGGAGGGGGAATACATGCTTATCAAACTGCTTTATCAAAGTATATTTTTATATATTAGTAGTTTATATAAATGCATAAAAAATTTAGGATAATATAGATACCATGCTGATTTGTAAACTATAACATTATGCCTAAGACTTATGATGCTCTATAGTGTAGGAAATGATTTTACCTAGATAAAAAATTATCTTTTTAAATGTTACGAACATGTTATATATATACAAAGGGCTTCTAGCCCAGTGGTATCTGGTGGTGCCCTTCCTCTTTGAGGTCGAGGGTTCAAGTCTCGTCGTGGACATAGATGGAATTAGGTGTTAGTTTAGGAGTAGAGTATATATTTGTATTTGCCGGTTCAAAAAAAAGATCCTAAACCCAGACACCATTTACAAATGATCCATAATCAAACAATTTCAATCTAAAAAACATAAAGTCTAAGAAATTCATTCCTAAGTCGACTTTCTCCTGTCCACACATCCTTCCATAGTCTAGTAGAAGATCCATTGTCCACTTTTTCATAAATAAAGAATGCAACATAATATTTTTCTTCATGAAGTTATTTAATCAGTCTGATAATCTGATAATTTTAGAACAAACACCATGTGTTTTGTACCCGTTTTCAATTCTGCAAAAACCTCCACCGTCACCATGAATAGTTGACACAATTTTAACCCACAATGAAGATCCAATACTAAGAAACTTTCACCGCCATTATTTGCAAAAATGTCTGATTAAGTGCATGTTTGGAATTCTTGTCAAACTTTTTATTGAATTTTTGGAAAAGCCATGAATTCCTAAAAAGATAGTGTTTGCCAAACACTTTTTTAATTTGTTGGCTTTTTGCAAAACCAATAAGTTAATAAGTCATTTTAAAAAATACTCACACACTCCCACTAAAAACAAACAAGCTTCCAAGACAAATATAACCTTTATCTTTAGTAGCTAAACCTTTCTCCCATCTTTTCCATATAACTTTTACATCTTCATCTCCCTAAAAGAATTTACACCAAGTTTTCCATCATACTACGAAGTTTAAGATGGACTTTGAAAATATTCATATAAAAACCCCTAGGCTTCCCGGAACATACTTCAAGAGGGTGGTATTACCAAAGGATTTTAACCTTCTATTGACTTCAATAGAGTAGTATGATCAAAGGGTTTTAATCTTCTGTTTATAAATTTTACTTTTGAATATGTCAGTCATATCATTCTAGCCTTCCACACGAGGTATATTAGATCTGACTGGCAACCCAAAATAAATAAAAGGAAGCTTCATTGGGAAACAGCTTGTAATGATAGCCAAACTTTCGACTTCAACCTATTTAACCCCCAATCGTATAAAAATTCCAAATCTATAATTAATTTTCAATTTAAAAGTTAAATAAACCACCTCAACACTCGAAACATATTTCTTACATTCCATTCAGAGCATTCACCAATAAAAAGAACATTATATGCATAAAAGAAGTGATAAATCTGAAATTTATGGATACGAACATGAGCATCATAAAAAATCCTATTTGTCAAAGCATCTTCAATAATAATACAAAGACCTTCCTTATCCAAAATAAAAAGAATAGACAAAAGTGGATTACCATGCCATAAGTCTCTTCCTAACTTAAACTCGAAGGTAGGACTTCCATTAATTAGACAGAAGCACGAGAAGAAAAAAGGCACACTCTGATCCAATCTTCCATTTATGATAGAACCCAAAAAAATGATAAGATCCAAATATTTTTAACTTAATGAATCATAAGTTTTTTCGAAGTCGGACTTGAAAACCACAAAAAAAAAAAAAAAAAATCTTCGCTTTGTATCAATAAGTCACTTTATTAACCATTAAAGGATCATAAAAAATATAGCAACCTTTAACAACCGAATATTTCTCAATACTCACCCTGCTTCCCACTGATTTCGCCAATCTATTAACTAAAATCTTAGAAGTAATTGTGTACAATCCACTCAAGCTGATTACAAACAAAGGAATCGAGACTTTGGGAATGAGATTAAACGAAACATTACACGTAGTCGGAATATGATTTGTGTCATGGA